CTGCAGAACTTTTTTCAAACACACGTCACACTGCAGCACGAAAGACAAACATACGTCACACAGCAGTGGGGGACGGGGCACACCCCCAGCGTCAGCAGAAGCTGACGAACCCCCAGCACCGCCACATGCTGACGCAGACCGCGCCCCTTGCTTTGCCCGAGCAGCTTGCTGCGCCCGTCCCATGGCCAAAGCACGCTTCATGATCCTTGGACAAGCAGGCCCTCGACTTGAAGCTTGAAAACCGGAACCTGTTTTTCTCTACAGAGCCGTACGGGCATGTCGTGTGATCTGCTATATATCGAATCTCGAACACTCAAATTCCTGCTCAGTGGCAGACGTCTCATTCTTCCAAACGTGTTTCACTACCGATGTCTCGAATCTCGCTTGCATGAAGCTCTGCTCATGATCAGTGGCGGAAGTCCCAAGACCCCGAAGCCATGTGTCCTCTGTGCGCCACTAGCGGCTACGAGCGATGATGCTTGCAAGCTGGGCGAAGTGCGGCATGGACGGAAAGCTTCAAATTTAGGGGAATGACCTCAGCAAGGCTTCAATTCCACCAAAACGTTAGCCCCAAACCGAAACTCTTCTCTCTCTCTCTCATTATTGTAAGATATTTGATCAATACATGTCCCAAATTTCTTGACATCTAAGACGTCGAAACGATTGGGATAAGCAAATTCCTCTGCATCCTGGATCGATGGTATATATGCCATATATGGGTCCAAGATACAGGATACATGGTACATACAGGATACATACAGGATACATACAGGACATACATGATACATACATGACACATGTTTCAAAGTACCCCTCTTTGGGCCGAGTATGCTTATATAGCAGACTTGCGATGCCCAGGGGAATATAGTACACATACCAGTATACTAATATGCTAACGTACGAATATACTGGTATGTTAATATACCAGTAAACTAATACACCAATATACTAGTGTATTCATGCACCAGTGGTACTAACATGTCGAATATACTAGTATAAAAGTATACAAATATATTACTTTTCGAATACATTGATGTATTGATGTTTCGCCAGGGGTCCAGTCAAGAGTTGTCCTTGACGGAAAAGCTCAGAGGCTTCTTCACTCTGAAGTGGAAATGCTTGTCGCCTAATCTCTTCGACCAGATGGTCTATGTCATCGTACTGCATGCAGCAAGCGCTCGAGTCCAATGTCACGAGCTATGCAAAATGCGTCTCCGCGCAATCCCTCAAGCGCTTTCTGCACGCATTCGGACATATCAAGTTCAGAATCCTTGATGTCCAGCAAAGTGTACGACGCCGGGTCAGCGGCCGGCTCTTTTTCACCATCAACCTGGCTTGGGTGAGATGGCAATGACTCTGCACCATCATCTTCATCGGGCTCGGATGCAGGCTTGGCCCTCCTCGCGCTCGAAGGGCTAGCGGGTACCCCGCTACTGGACTCACCCTCGGTGGGGTGGACGCTGCTTCCCTGACTGGCCTTTCCACGCCACTTCCTTGGCGAATCGCTGCGAGACCTGGCTGCGGCAGCAGACCTCAGGTCTTTCAAGACCTCGCGGCGCTGTCGCTCGCGGTGTTGGAGAACTCGGAGCTGTGTCCGGAATTGCCAGTCGTGGAAGCCTGGCTTTCGTGCCGTCATAGATGTATGACCCTGACTTTGTCTCTGCCCGGACTAGATTTTGAAACCAATGATTTGGCTGGTAACGCAGCCCGGAAACCGACATTGCTGGCTAGATAGGGGCCTTGCTCTCCCACCTAACACTACCTTCCAAAGGACCCTGGACGCAGCTCTCAGGGGTGAAACACGTTATCAAGGGAGGCCTCTACCAGCCCGGACGCCAAACGAGGCATTTCCAGTACTAAAGTTGTACTACTACCAGGCACAATCCCGCCAAACGAGGCAATTCCAGTACTAAAGTTGTACTACTACCAAGCACAATCCAGCCAGGACGCCAAACGAGGCATTTCCAGTACTAAAGTTTGGTACTAAAGGGACTTTGGCAAGGAACCCGTATTACCAACTACACCGCGGAATGTTACGACCTAGCGTTTTCGCTTCCCCGAAGGTATGCTCCGACTTGCTGACATGCGTTACGACTTCGGTAGTTCCCTGTAGCAACTGGAGACAGGTAGCAGAGTGCACACCCTCGCACATCTAGCCGAATTTTTGATCTTGCGCTCAAGACGTCTGCGGCGAGTACTTTCAGATGAAGAGACTGAAGCTTGTGATGTTACACATGTTAGCCAATTCAAGTACTACATACAGCAAAACAAGTGAGGACTGTCACCACAGATGATAATAACAGACGCAAATTTCTCAACGCTAAAGTTTCTAAAGATGTTCACGACAAGGCCAGCAGCGACATGTCTTCTTTTGGAAGTCAGAAGAGTTTGGGCCTTCACGGTGGCTTGGCTTCGTGCGGTACTTCGTCGGCACTAGAGATATGGAGCTGACCCATTTGTGGAGCATCTTTGTGCTGCTGCCGTCATTCACAATAATGGAGACAGTCTCAACTCAGACCTTGCCGTCCCGGATGCAACCAAAAGTGCATGAAGATCTTGAGAGGCAACAGCAACGTCGGGCTCATGAGCTTCGGAGCAAGTGCTATGTTTCTACACTTGTGTTTTGCGCAATCGGCTGCGTCAAGCTGACCAATCTTTCCTCTTTTCATGCTCTCCCTTGGATTTCCGCCCAACCCTCGAGATTCACCAAGGACAGCCATGACAATCGAGGTTCTCGAGATGCAGCGTTCCTATTTTCAATAAGTGAAGTGGAGTCCGCGGGCTTCGCCGCCGGGGGGCAATCACTCGGTCAGCAGGCGTTGATTTGAACAACGACAAGTGTGTAGCTCGGACAATTACGGTGAGTGTCGCAGCAGCGGTGTGCAATGAGGGATACAATGTCACACGCGAGGATGCTCGAATGTCAGCACCCACCCACCAGCCTAGGTCAGACGGCTCAGACCAAACGTGATGGAAGACATCCATACTAGATCAGAAACGCGCAAGCCCAATCTTGCAACGGCGGATGTTCGCCAGTGCTTGCACAATACAGGCTCTGAAGGGGACAAGAGGACGAGTTCCAATTTCATGCTCAACATGCATCGGGGCTGTGGTTTCGAAATCTGCCATTCGGTAAGGTCCTCGGGCCCTTCTGCCTTCCGAGCTCAGCTTTCTGCAAACATGTCATGTCGAGTGCCGCGTCCTGGTGGTTGCCGCTGGTCTGCGCAGCTGTCGGCTGCGCTCCGTCCTGCAAGGCTTCAAGATGCTTCAAGTAAGTGGCAAATATACGTGCAGTTTCTTGCAGGCAAAAGCATGTTGACACCGGACGCACACCCTGCATGAGGGCTGCTACTCTGCCGACGAAACCTGTGCTTTAGCAAGGCCCCCTGGGCTGAAGCTTGCTGCGAACGTGTCATGTCATCATCAACAACTGATTGCTGACGGCCGCGGCTTGCCTGCGCAGGTTTCAGCTGTGCTCCGTCCCAAGTTTCACATGTGGCCATGCTCCGCCGACACGCCAGCCAGGGTTCACCAGCCTGCCACCGAACGCCTACAAATCTGAGAAGATACATGCATTTTAGGCACAGGCATGTTGCATCGAAGCTATGAAGTCGATGTTCCTACCACGAAACTCTGCCTACGAAATCCGCTATTATGCAAGGCCCCCTCTGCCTTCCGAGCTCAGCTTGGTACAGACATGTCATGTCAACAGCTGCGTCCTGACGGCGGCGGCCAGTCTGCGCAGCTTTCGGCTGTGCTGTTTCCTGCAATGCTTCAGTGTGGCGGCTGTGGCCATGTTCCGACGACCTCGACATTCTCCCCTGGAACTGCTTAAAGCTCTGATGGTGCATGCAGATTCATGCAGGTCACGGCAGGTTGATACCGGAAGCTCCTTTTGCATCGAAGCTATGAAGTCGATGTTCCTACCACGAAACTCTACCTACGAAATCCGCTATTATGCAAGCCCCCGTCTGCCTTCCGAGCTCAGCTTGGTACAGACATGTCATGTCAACAGCTGCGTCCTGACAGCGGCGGCCAGTCTGCGCAGCTTTCGGCTGTGCTGTTTCCTGCAATGCTTCAGTGTGGCGGCTGTGGCCATGTTCCGACGACCTCGACATTCTCCCCTAGAACTGCTTAAAGTTCTGATGGTGCATGCAGATTCATGCAGGTCACCGCAGGTTGATACCGGAAGCTCCTTTTGCATCGAAGCTATGAAGTCGATGTTCCTACCACGAAACTCTGCCTACGAAATCCGCTATTATGCAAGCCCCCGTCTGCCTTCCGAGCTCAGCTTGGTACAGACATGTCATGTCAACAGCTGCGTCCTGACAGCGGCGGCCAGTCTGCGCAGCTTTCGGCTGTGCTGTTTCCTGCAATGCTTCAGTGTGGCGGCTGTGGCCATGTTCCGACGACCTCGACATTCTCCCCTGGAACTGCTTAAAGCTCTGATGGTGCATGCAGATTCATGCAGGTCACGGCAGGTTGATACCGGAAGCTCCTTTTGCATCGAAGCTATGAAGTCGATGTTCCTACCACGAAACTCTACCTACGAAATCCGCTATTATGCAAGCCCCCGTCTGCCTTCCGAGCTCAGCTTGGTACAGACATGTCATGTCAACAGCTGCGTCCTGACAGCGGCGGCCAGTCTGCGCAGCTTTCGGCTGTGCTGTTTCCTGCAATGCTTCAGTGTGGCGGCTGTGGCCATGTTCCGACGACCTCGACATTCTCCCCTAGAACTGCTTAAAGTTCTGATGGTGCATGCAGATTCATGCAGGTCACCGCAGGTTGATACCGGAAGCTCCTTTTGCATCGAAGCTATGAAGTCGATGTTCCTACCACGAAACTCTGCCTACGAAATCCGCTATTATGCAAGCCCCCGTCTGCCTTCCGAGCTCAGCTTGGTACAGACATGTCATGTCAACAGCTGCGTCCTGACAGCGGCGGCCAGTCTGCGCAGCTTTCGGCTGTGCTGTTTCCTGCAATGCTTCAGTGTGGCGGCTGTGGCCATGTTCCGACGACCTCGACATTCTCCCCTGGAACTGCTTAAAGCTCTGATGGTGCATGCAGATTCATGCAGGTCACGGCAGGTTGATACCGGAAGCTCCTTTTGCATCGAAGCTATGAAGTCGATGTTCCTACCACGAAACTCTGCCTACGAAATCCGCTATTATGCAAGCCCCCGTCTGCCTTCCGAGCTCAGCTTTGTACAGACATGTCATGTCAACAGCTGCGTCCTGACAGCGGCGGCCAGTCTGCGCAGCTTTCGGCTGTGCTGTTTCCTGCAATGCTTCAGTGTGGCGGCTGTGGCCATGTTCCGACGACCTCGACATTCTCCCCTAGAACTGCTTAAAGCTCTGATGGTGCATGCAGATTCATGCAGGTCACCGCAGGTTGATACCGGAAGCTCCTTTTGCATCGAAGCTATGAAGTCGATGTTCCTACCACGAAACTCTGCCTACGAAATCCGCTATTATGCAAGCCCCCGTCTGCCTTCCGAGCTCAGCTTGGTACAGACATGTCATGTCAACAGCTGCGTCCTGACAGCCGCGGCTTGTCGGTTCAGCTTTCGGCTGCGCTCCGTCCTGCAACACTCCAAGTTTCACATGTAGCCATGCTCCGTGCCCGTGGCTGCCAGAGCTGCCTAAAGCTATGACCAATCACGCAGTTTCTTGCAGGTCAATTGTTGATTCGGGAATTCGCGACATGCATCGGAACTGTGAACGGGAAAATCCCACAAGCTCCTATTTGGCAAGCCCCTCTGCTGCTTGCTGCAGACATGTGAACACCGAGTAGGCCAAACTCTGGCTATGGAATCTAGTTGTCCTGGTTGGGACAACTCGCCGACTTGCCTTCAATGTTAACATTTCGCACCCGCTAGCCATGTGCCGTTCAAGCTCAGGCAGCCATATCATATCATATCAAAAACCTTGTCCTGCTGCGCTCCGGTAGGCGAATCCTGCAAGCTTCACTTTGGCAAGGTGGATACGCTGCCACAACCCTGCTCACGAGCCGACAGCTCAACACACGTCCTCGATCAGCCAGCCAGAGGATTCATAGCGATGTGTCTTCTTGAACCCCGTCGGTGGCACAAAGTCGTCAGCAGTGTTGACAATTGTCTCGTCATGGATGCAGACAGCGTCAGACACAAGAAGAGTGGCTTCTAGCAGCATCTGTTCTCGGGGGTTCGGGGATATGCCATTCCATTTGGGTGGCCACCACCGAAGCTTCTGTTCCATCTGTTCCCCAGGTTCTTTGATAAGGTGCCACCAGTGGCCACGTCCAGGGTGGGCGAGTAAGAGCAGATTTGGGGCCCGGGTGGCCGCGGCTTTTTCCGAGTGTCGCAATTTGTGCTTACTACACTTGAATACTTCCAGCCTTGGAACTTCCCGGTGCAGCTCTGCACGAAATTTCCAGCAGGCCTTGACTTCGCCCTTTAACTGCTCACGAAGTCGTTTCATGGTCTGACTTTCTTTAATTGTTGTTGTTTCAGGGTCAGCCGCTGCGGCCCGAGCTTCCGATTCCTGCCTGAGTTGCTCCACACGTTGCTCGACGTGCTGCAGGGCCACTGCGTATGCCCGTAGTTTCTCGACAAGGTCTAGCATGCCTTGGAAAAATTGTTGCTCCATGGCTGGCACTGCCAATTTCCACCCTTGAGCCGTACAGGAGTGGCAAAGGCAGCAAAGCTGCCCTGCCGATCGCACCATGGTTGCAACATTGCTGCTGGCCCCGAAGGAGTCGATTTGTCGATGCCGGATTCGAACACGCTCACGTGACTGCTACCATGGTGCGTGCATGTAGCATCTCAGTGTACCACGAGTCGAAACAAGGGCCTAAAGCTGACAAAGCTCCGCCGAGGCTGCAAACTGCAGCCTTCTGCCTCGGCCCGGGCTTAGCTTTCAGACATCTTAAAGTCTTAACGCCATGAGCTGTCAGATCTTCATCAGCATTGCAAATCGCTCCCCGCTACATCCAAGCAAGGATATGGAGCTCAATGCATGTAGCTATACTTCTGAGCAAACCTGCTGCCGGCTTGTTCTCCGCGCGACTGATGCGACCGTGAAGGCCTAAGCAAGCGAAGTGAATTGAAAGAGTTGCAGACGGAGTCCGGGGAATAGGCAAACTTATCTCACAAGACGCTGCCTGATGGTGTATAAACAACCCTCTCTGATTCCGCCTTGGAGGCGGAAGCAGTCCTTGTGCCTTGCAGGCAGCAAACCAGCACTGGTTATAGTCAAAGAGAGCTCAAACTTCTCCCCTCAATTCTAGATGCTGACAATCTTGGCATGACTTACGCCGAGTTTCGAAGCAGAGCTCCCCTGAATCGCAGTCTTTCACATAGATGTTCAGTTAGTGTCTACTGTAGAACATTGCTACAGCAGCGACCGCACTACTTGTACTACATTTGGGCGATCAAGACACAGTCCAAGACCTCCGACAGAGGAAAACAATCACAATCAGCCTCCGGAGCAGGCCACAGTCTCAACGTAATGATGTCTCGTAAGGAATAGCTCGCATTAGCTCGCAAGGTCCACATGTTGCTGGCGTACTGTTGTAATCATGCCTGTGGGCAAACGGCCCGTGACTATACGACCTGCCTGTACGCATCAGGCAAAGGACGTTGGCACGGCTTGGAAATCAGGCTATTCACTGCACTCGGGGGGATGGCCATCTGCATTCGTAGCAGAGGCAGCAGCAGCAGCAGCAGTCTCCTGATTTTACAGATTCCAAAATCAGGATCGCTTATGGAATTCGTTGGCACTGCATGCCTGGATGATCTAGCATGATCTAGCAATGCAGCTTTATCATCAGAATGTCATTCCTGGCTGAACCACTGATCTGGAAATGCTCATGACTCATGCCTTACAGCAAGATGCAACCCTGCTCCGAGTTAGATGTGAACCCGCAGGCTGCCATGTCCTGGAATGCGGCAGAGTCCTGAAAGCTGACCAGCTGAGGAGCCAGCCTTCCATAAGGATCGCTTCACATCAGCCACAGGAGACACCACAGCCTCAAAGTGATCTGTGTGTGGCCGCCTTTGGACTGGAAGAGGATCCAGAACTTGATGCGACTGCAGCAATGACGACCGCTGGAGTAGTTTAAGGCCCGGACGTCGGTGTCGGCCACGTGCACAAAACCTCGCCATTGAGCAGATGGGTGTTGCGGTTCGGGTTCAAAGTCGAGGGCTTGGAGTTACGGCCTACTCATAGCTACGGTCTTTAACCAAGGGTGGGGGGTGCGCAGCAAGGAGATTCAAGAAGTCTACTCTGGACTGTAAGACTCTTGCTCAATGACATGGGGACAGAGGGCGGGCTGCATGGAAATGGACAAGGCTGGAAAACAAAAGCGAACGTTGGCCTTGGTGCTAAAATATACAGGCGTTCACTTTGATATCTTTGAAGCTTCCGAAGCCAAAGCAGCTGTGCGAAGGCATGGTCAACGGAGCATCGGCAACGCCTTTCTGGAAATCCAGGCCCTCTTTTGTCGCTTGTATAAAGATTCTAAGCATTGTTTGTGAGCCCGGCTTTTAGGGGCATGTAGCCCTGCGCCTTGCTCATCGGTGCGGCTAGGAAGCACGTGAGCATGCAGGTGCCGCACGACTGCAGAATCTGCAACAGCAGGCACGCCTGGCGACGAGCTACCGCAGAGGCACAAGACGCATGTTTATGCATGACTCGTCGCCGATGCTGCTTCGCGGTCGACCCAAGTGCTCTGCATGCGCCTTTTGCACGCAAGCAGTGGGGCTCAGTAGGGTCTGCAACAGAACCAGCAAAGAATGGAGTGCGGACGTGGAACGTGTGTAGACCACGAGGCCACCTGGATTTCCGGCAGCTACAGTGCGCGGAGAGGCGGCTGAGTTTCGGCTAGCAGTAGTGTCGGCCACCATCATGCAAAAACACGAGCGAAGCACCCCAAGATATCCTTGTCTAGAGTCTAGAATGCCTCTGTTGTATCGCCGGCAGGTTCTGTCTCTGCGGCCAGTGTCTGCACTGGCCCGTGGGAGGGGCTCATGATTGCCTCACAAACGTAAACGTTGAAGTTGATGTCCAGATCCGACCTGGAGTTCTGAAGCGATACTTGCTTGAATGCTGGTAGCGAACGATCGTCGAGCTCGACGTGCCGTTTGCCGTCCAGGAATATGGCTTTGCAACTCGCCGGCAATTGTCGAAGAATGAAGCTCATGGTCAGCTCTTCGCTCGACACATAAACGGTTTGCGGCCCCTGCTCGCCCGGCACATCGTGCAATGTCAATCTTGTCCTGTCCTGCCGAAGCTCGAAAAAGAAGTTCAGAAATGAGCTGTTGGAGCTGCTGCTTTGCTTCAGGGCATCACGGCTGAAAGCCTGCAATCTCTCGGGGCTTCCATCGAGTTTGCGGAGCCTTCCAGATGCGCTTTGGTAACATGCCGCGAGGCCTCTCCTGAGTTGTTGCTTACGAACGACATCTTCGAAGTATTTTTCGAGGTCGCCGAAAGTCACTGTGTGACCTGTAATACTCTGTACCTTCGTCAAACACTTGTCGTGCAAAATCCCAAGTGACTGGAGAATCAACTCAACTTGAATCTCACCATCGGCAAATTGCTTGAAGCCCCGCGGATATTCCTCAAGGGGGCATAGATACCCTTGCGAATCTCGCCAGTATAGTACGTACTCGTGATACTGTCCAGCTACATCTGCCTTCCACTTCTGCAAATCGGCAGCCAAGATCGAGCGGTCGTTCCACCAAAAGGTTTGAGTCTGTGTGCTCATGCCGCTGCATCTGGGAAACTGCAGCGTCACATTGACTACCTTAGTGCTCGACATTGCTTGACTGCAGGCGGCAAACTGCGTCAACAGCTGAGCTGCCACGCGCTCCCCGTCTCGACAACCGCCCTGCCAGGCCATCGTCTGCAAAGCCTGCCAAGCATCTAACGTTTCGACTGCGCGCAATGCAAAGAAGGCTCAATCGCGGGTTCCAGCCCTCGGTCTTCGAACGTGCCAGGGCACTCTCTTCGACGTGCCACACAATTTTTACTGCCCCTCGCGAACTGCAACTCAAGAAACAGAACCAGCACGTCGAGTAAGCTCACCTCACTACCAAAACGTAAGATGAAACCCTCCTTACAACCCCTGCGCTTTGTCCGTCCTTCCCTGCCTGAGCCGGCAGAGTCCGGTCTTCCTGCAAAACTTCAGTGTCTCACAGCCAGACCAGAGGAAGGGACTTCACTGCTCTCCAACCGACAGATTCCATACATGTCCTGGAGCCAGTCAAAGGATTGATGGCGCCGAACATATTTTCCAGCGTAACCCGTCGGAGGCTGATGTCCCGGGGGCATGTTGAAAACGAAGCGACATTGACCGTGACAAGGATGCCAATCATGATGCACGAGGACAGTGGCTTCAAGCAATGCCTGTACTTGCTTATCTTGCTGCTGATCCTGCTGCCGGACGAGTGTACTGGCTGACCACTGGGTACTCCATTGAAGCTTCTGTTCCCCGCTTTTGTGCAGCTGCCAGTATTTCCGACGATCGGTGGTGGTATCGAGTTCTGGGATCGAGAAAAATCGGTCTGTGTCTGGGGCCTGACTGCCCGTGTCCGAAGTTCCGTGATCGTACCTGAAGATTTCCAGCACCCCATTCTGGTGCAGCTGCGCATGCAAATGCCAGCTGACCTCCACGATGTGTTCCAGCTGCCCAACAAGCTTGCGCATGTCTTCGCTGGCAGGCATACTGGTTTCGGCACTCGCATTGCCAAACACGGGTTGCCCACGTGCAGCTTCTGCCTTGATTTGGGTAGCAAGCTCCAGAATCTTCCTCAAGGCCTCATCGTACGTGCTTCGCTTGTTCTGCTCGGTCCATGCCTCACTGCCGAACCCGCTGCCCGGAGCATCGATAAGCCTGCGCACATCGTCACGGCTCACACCTGGCAAACCGTCTCTGAGCCAGGAGGTACTGAGCCTCTCAGCTACCTGTGCGTGCAGCTTTCCCCATTCGGCTGCTTTGATCTTGTTGCGAATGCTTCGCAAGTGCCGCAAGGCCCTATAAGCCTTGTCACGCAGACGGGGGCAGTCTTGTGGCAGCTGCTGCTGCTGCTGCAGATTACTTCCTGTCAACTTTTTCGTGTCAAGCAGGTCCTTCTGCAACACTTGCAGGCCAACTTCATCTTGAGTCACGGTTCGAAGAAGACGCGCCGTTAGTTCTTTCGCATATTCCAATGTGTAGATGGGCTCCAGGTGGGATAGCGCCGCTTCCGTCACAAGCACATCCAGCGCACCATAGCGGAGCGACTCCAATCCAAACACTGCAGGGGCACCGAAAGCCCTGACATTTGTTTTGTAACAGTTTGTAAAGTCTATTGGCTCCTGCGGCGCTTGAAATGCTGGTGGTCTTGCTTGCTCTGTGTGCTCTCCTACTGGTAGCAGCCCAGGAACTGCCTTGAGACCAACCAAATATCTGCTGGAAATGGAGAAGGCAAGCTGGGCGTCGAGGACGTTGTGCAACTCGGCCAATATGGGCAAGGGCTCCCGTTGATACATCAGGCCGTGGAAGTCACGCTCAGAACCCCAGGAGATCTTCATGATGCGATCGTTCCGCTGCAGGTCTCGCAGGAGCTGGACACACGGCAAGCATCGAAGATCTAGGATCAGAACTGGCAGCCTCGTGTCGGGAGTATTGAAGTTCAGCTTCCTGGCATTGCAGCTTGCATCAAGAACGAAAGAGGGTTTCAGCTGGGCCATGAGGATCTCGCCACCGTACCCGATCTGCTCGCCCTCGAAATCTTGAATGATAACCGCTCCGTGCTGCTCACAAAGCTCAATGACCCCCCTGGCAAAGGTTATGAGGTTGTCGAAACGGGCCTCGCTCTGGCTGACCAAGTAGACTTGGTGGTTTGCCACCTCCTCCACCCGGGGCAGGTCATCATCGAGCGCCTGGATGGCTTCTTTCAAGCCTTGTGCCGCCGTCTGGGCCGTCTCGTCCCGAACTGCTGACGCTGATGCCCAGCTCACCCTCTGCATTCTCTGGATATGGTCACCATTTTCTGTGAACGTCACCTTGTCATAGTTGTTCAGAGTCTCGTCCTGGTCCTGTGGTTCGTAGATAGTGCCCTTACCACGTGGACGATTGACATAAATCTGACCAGCGTCAGTGATGTAAACTTGCCCGACAGATCTTCCGGCACCCACTGCAATTGCTAAGTCTTGGGAGAACCCGAGCCCGGGGTCCGCGACAGCCGGAGCCGAAGCTTCCCCCCGCTGTGGTGTGGGCGCTCCATCCTGCGAGGCTTCTGTTGCAAACGTGTCGATGCTCCAAAACCTGCAACCTTTGCCAGCCCCTGCAATTTTCACGAGCTTCCTCAAGAAATGCCTCAACCTCTGCAAGGCCAGTTGTGGTCGCCATCGATGTCCTTTGGGGCGGTGAGGCCAACTCCCCAATTCCCTATTCAGCAAGGGCAGCAAGGGCCTTCCTGCCTGCAAACATGTCATGTCAACACAAGTCAGCAGTTGCATCCTGAGGTGCGCCAGTCGCGACGTCAAGCCGAAAACCGCCAAGAAGCATCATCTCCTCGGCTCGATTCGGCAACAGGTTGCTGTCATCTTCAAAACACACAAATCTGGCACGGTTTATGATTCCTCGCAGATAGGGCTCCTGACATGTCCTGACTCCATGGGCGGGCACGATCTACTTCACCCGTTGAGCTGAAAACAAGCGTGAAAAGCAGCAATTCTCCGCTGCCAAGCTCTGCTGCACACAATTGCATCACTAACTATGAAAACGTGAAAAAGCTCCGCGGAACCTGCAAACTGCAGCTTTCTGCATTCGGCATGTCGCGACCTTGGCACTTGATCCCTGCAACTAACCCAGTGCCAACCGTCTCTTCTTTCAAATTGGGAGCAAACGAAGCTGGACAGCGGCACTGAGGCTTGCACCGGGTTCCTCAATAGGGCATCCGAAAGGAAGGCAAGAGACCAGTACCGAGACACCTTGTCTGCGGGCATCCGCGGCCATTGGGCAGCGGGTTACCGGCGGCTGCCCCAAGCCGAAGCGGAGCTCCTATATTACTCAAAATCCGGAACGACCCCTTAGAGTCCGCGCACTGGTGAAATCTACGGTGGCCGCTAGCCTTTCACAGGGCTAAGGAGCCAGCCTTCCATAAGGATCGCTTCACCTCAGCCACAGGAGACACAACAGCCTCAAAGGGATCTGTGGGTGGCTGCCTTTGGACTGGAAGAGGCTAAACAACCTGACACGACTGCAGCGGCGACAACGGCTGGAGTTGCCAGATCAGCTAAGGCCGAACTCCGGAGCACTCTCGAGTGTAAGAACGGATATTCTTGCAAGAAGGCTATCAGGCTGAACTGTGAGTGCACTGTTTAGGTTCCCCAAACGAAAGGAAGCACCACGACCAAATGGCCTGACCGGCAGTTGGCACCCATGCGTTGCCTGCAGCTCGATTCGACGGCATTGCCCAGAATCACGTCGCTCAACGCAACAGCATGGAAGTGACGGCTGATCATGTTCTTTCGGCGAAGGAAAGTCTCGCGAATCGCTTCTAGTCTCTGAGCCTTGTCCACGCATGCTCAAGCTACCGTGTTCAGCTTCGTCTCATGCTGAAGATAACTCGAACCATCAGACTTCCCACCACCCTCAAGCCATCCTGAGCCACTCCGGCGATATTCAAAGAACGACCTGCCTGTGATGGGCGCCACTGGAGCCCCACTGGCCTGGTCGCTAGTCGCTCGTCACCGCCACGACAGGCACCTCCCGAGGTGCGCCATCGCATGCTAGGGTTTCAACCAACTCAAACTCGAACCACTTGCAAGGGACCAGAAAAAGACCTGGCTTGAGCTACCGAGTGGCATCATGTCGGGAAGAGAGGGTGCCAATGGTGTAGGGCACATGGCTGCAAAACCGTGCTAGTGGATGCCTCCATGGTTGCTCTCAGATGCAGACATGGGATATCCATGCGCAAACAGAAAGATGGGGCTTGACGCCACGGTACCCCCTCGAGCACTGGCAGAGTCAAGAAATGCACTCCAGCGGATTACGGCTCTATAAAAAGCCGCACACCAGCGACTCGAACACCTGCTATCTTACTATCTTCAACGTCGTATCCGTAGTAACCTTTTGAACACTTCTTGCGGATTGAACTGTTGCTCACCCATGCCACATTGCAACACTGCTTTCTGAGGTACGGCAAGCATGGCAGGACCACGATGCGATGCGCAGTGGAACCATGCTGGCCTCAGCACAGCCATTTTGCGAGCCCACCTGTGGCAAGGACCGATGGCTTGAGCCGGAGAAGAAAAACAGTTCCGAGAAGTGCAGCTGCGCAGCTCCTAGTTGCAAGTAGATCGAAACATGCTTGTACTTTGCTGCACTCGTGTGTAACTATTCTCTCTTCATCTCAGCATGGACTGCATGGAAAGTGCTGTTCCTACAAGTATCCTATTCTGCTGAGCAGTCCACGTAGCCAAGCATCTCCGAAAACGTCAGCAATATGATGCCTTCCCAGAGTAGGAGGAAACATGCAACGGCTGTTGAGATTCATCAGAAGCTCGACTTTCAACTTCTGTCGCTGCATCGCCATGTACCAATTTCATGCCACCCGACCACAGCAGTCGCAATGTCATCAGGCACAGGTATGCCCATCCTTGCATGCTTCTTGGCACATCCAAGGCTCCACACCAGGCCTCTACACCCTAGCTCGGGACGTGGCTCGTCGTGGCCTGAGGGTGACGAGGGGCCGAGGGCAATGAGAAAGCGTTGTCTTGAGCATGCGCACCAGTGCGCGGATGCTCACAACTCCGACTCACCAAGCAAGACTTCACGGAGCCCTGGCCAGTCGAAAGGGCCGCTAGGAGCCCGGCGTGCCACCAAAACAGGAAAACAGAATATGGAGCTGCCCATGATCGCGACGCAGGGCAACTGGTCCCGAGTCCTGCCATGAACTTGGGATCAGGGCTTCGGGCTGAAGGAGCGTGGCCCCTTGGCTGTTCTGAGTGTTTCACAGGCATGTAGGGCCTGGATGGCCCTGGAACGCACGGCAGGGGTTGGGTCGCAGGCTGCGCATGTAGGGCGCAGGACTGCGGGCAAGAGTTGTGATGAAAGCCGGAGCGGATGCAGACAGCGGTGGTGCAGCCTGCTTGCCGCTAGGCTTCTGTCACTAGCTTCTGAATCGCATTCTGCTGCCTGGTGCTGCAAGCAGTCCTCGTCGGCAGCCGCCGTGCACACAAGCGCACCACGATGCAGGACCGGGAGTCAGGTCCAGGATGTTAGACCTCGGGGCTAGGTAGCATCACATCTCGCAATACAGGAGAGGCCGCCAAGGCGATTCGGATTTCGAGTTTGTGGCTGGAGGCATGTCAATTGCTGGACGGCGGAGCGCCCAGGAGCAGTGCAACCAAGAGGTGCGCAAACCGCCCTGGCGTCGTGCTGCGTGCCAGGCCTCTTCGACACGTGCCGAGGAAAGTCGCGAGGCGCATGCCGACAGTGACCTGCTTACACTGCAAGGTGCTTTACTTCGACCTCTCAGCTGTTTCAGTCCACCGCGCACCCGGGCTGCGGGCTGCTCGAACCAAGTTACTAGCCACTGGGCACCACCTGGCATCACAAGTCCGATGCCCGAATAACTCCTGACAAGCCTATACAAAAGATCCCACTCTGTCTCAGGCCGCTGCCGTCCGAGGGTTGGCTTCAGGTCACGGTCGAAAGGTTTTACTGTAAAGCTTGGCGTCTATGACCGTTTAGCAAGAGATGATCGCAGCATCAGGGTTCTGGAATCCGAGTCTGCCGAACTACGAGGACCAAGAATGCAAGCGGATCCTCAAACTAATTTTGACAGCGCCCTGTGGATTGAGGCTCGGATGAGCACAGATTGGCACTGCAAAATAAGGCCAACAACAGAGGAATCCTTACAGGGGGTCAAGCTGTCTCTCGGATACCCGGCTTCACCTCAAGAACTATACCGAAAGCTGCTTGTCTGACTCTACGCAACCCCTGCGGCCCTTGGCACCAAGGCAATGACATTGAAAAAACAACCTGAAGACTGTCTTGTATAAAAGCCTCGCGAAGCCTAAGCCCTACTGGCGCGCACCCTCGAACCCTAAAACGGCCAAAAACCCTAAACCGCGACAGGTCTGCCTTGACCGGCTTGTCCGCCCAGCCAGCGGGCGACGGCACCTGTTCTCTGCAGCGAGAAAGCCCAAGGGACGGGTCCAGCCGCCTAAGCGCCTACATAAAGTAAATTATGCTCGCTTTCAGAGCACGTCGTTTTTGTACTCGAGAATCTGAACGGGAATTGATTACAGGAAGCGCGATCTAGCGAAGCCAGCCAAACTGATTTGGAGCGATTCAAAACAAACCGCAATCCTACCTAGGACCTAGCCCTCTGACTTCTGACTCTACCCGAGCAGCAAACTAGAACTGGAACCATTAAACCTCGAGCTATGGTGAACGCTTCTCGTGTTCATGGCATCCTGTCACTCGATCTCCGACTCCAAGGCTTTCAAGATGCATCTTGCGGTTCAGGCATCGCGAGTGCAAGATGCACTTGCTGCACAAAGCTTGTGCTCTACGAAGTGGACCTGGATCGAACAAGGCCAAAAGCCCAAACGTAAGCTCGAAAGTGCCTAGAGCTGAAGACATTAGACAAAACTTCGATCTCCTGGAAGGAGCTCACACGCACCCACCCGTTTTGGATTCTACAGTCAAGAAGTCAAGGGATCTTCCTTCCGTGTCCTCTCAAGTCCCCCTTCCATTTCTCCATGCTGGCATCATTTCGCACTGCAAGACCAAAGCATCCGAATAGCATGACAGTCGCTTACAAAGCACCATGGCTGCTTCTCGTCTGCGGAGCTTTAAAAGTAAAATATTCACACTTGAGGCCTTTCGAAGCCCAGGGTTTGAAGCGACAGCTCCTGGGAGCTGCTGCACGAGAAGGCATGCCCAGCTTCTGCGAAGCCGATGCATCGTCTACAGAGCCAGCCTCAGCACCCCAAAGCCGAAACCAGCTACGAAAACCAAGCAGAAGCCCTCCCAACATCCCAAGCCCCTCCGCCGGAAGAGAAATGGGCAACGATACACCGCGGATCTCAACACCTCCGAGCAGTAGCCCAGGCCTTCACCACACCCCGAAGCCCAAACTGGAAGGAGCCGGACGGCCTCGAGTCAGCGTGCGCCGGCCGCGCCGGTCCCGAGAAGCTGGGTGCCTGCGCGGGCTTGCTGCGAGGAAGCAACCCCTGAGCCCATGCAGTCTACCCTGTCGTTAGACATGTCCCGTTCGCACTGACTTGCGAGACACAAGTCCGTCTGCCGAGATCTGTGAATTTGCTCACAGCCGAAGCGGGAGTAAAACACGCGACAACGGCCCAATGGTAAGTTGCTGAATATTCTACACGCACAGACAAGCAAGCAATGAATTAGGTGGTGGACTTGAGTGCCTGTTCGTGTAGATCAGAAACATGGTGACTGACATGATGACGGTGATGATGGAAATAATGACGATGGTGGTGCTGGTGATGGATAGAAGAGAGCTGGATCCTACTAAAACCACTGACCTTCGATACGAGCAACATCTCACAACCCTCGACAAACCTTACAAAACCTAAGCCTTCAACCCAAAACTCCTGCAGACGCGCCACCCTGTCTCCGGCCGCTGCCGACCGCTGCGCTCCTCCCCAAGCGACAGGATGGCATGGCTGGGTTTAGGCTCAGTCGAAATGTCTCCAAGCTTGGGGCCTAGAATCGCTTGCTAGATTTACTAGAAGGTTGGGGCCCAAAAGATGATCGCAGTTGAAACCATGGCGCCCACGAAAGCAGCCGGATCACTATAGAACAACCTTGACAGCGCCCTTCGGATTCTTGAGGCTTCGGGATGTACACACAGACTGGCACTGCATCAACAAATCAACAACGGAGGAATCCGTTTCACTTCCGAGGTCAAACTGTTTCTCGGATACCCGGCTTTACCTCAAGAACTATACCCAAGCCCAAAGCTGCCTTCAGACTCTGCAAGCCATGCGGCCTCTGGCATCAAGGCAATGACGTTGAAATCCAACCTGCGCCACGTTGCCCAGAAACTGTGTCTTGCGGCTTGCGCGACGTGCGCTTCAGGGTTCACGATGAGGGTAATCGATCTGCGGTGTGGGCTTAGCGTTTGAGTTTCGGTTTTGGATTCACAGAGCTATTGCATTTCAGGTACAAGCTTCGGGCTCCGACTCAGGTTTGCAAGCGAAAACTGCAGGCAGGGGAGGAGTCAGAAAGTCCCAGAGCACACAGAGCGGCCAAACAGGCAGCACAGCACCACCATGTCGGCTGGAACACGGCCATCAATTCACGTGCCAGGTTTTGACTCATCGCTCTGCCCACCTCATGAGCATGCTAAACGTCATCTATTTATCCGCTTGTTTCCGGATAGGTGGCTATCTGTCCAGTGGACGCATCTGTTGTGCAACATGTAGGGCCTCTCATCCAGAAGAACTCAAGCCTCGATCGTCGAACAGAACATGTATCATGCTTGACCGTGCCGCTGCACGTCCTGGAGACAATCTGTCGGTGGTTGTACCGGTCTCAAACCTGAGAGCATACGCCATGGAATCGGCCACATTGGAAATCCCGACCAAACTGCGAAGGAGAAGGAGCCAGATGGCCTCAGTCATCTGCACAAGAGCTGCCAGCATCTGCCAGCCACCGCTGGAAGCGCAACGTCAACCTATGCCAAGCTATGAACCGGGATGAAACAGCGCCAATATCGGAGGTCGGTTGAAATGCCTGCCGGGAATTCTCCATCCAGTCGAAAACAAGCACTAAGACTAGAAGTAAGACGAACTGGCCAACGGCCCATTGGCCATGACAATCAGTTGGCACCCATGTGCTGCCTGTATCTGCCTGTAGCTCGCCTCGACGGCTGTGGCTGGAGTTCAGGCCTCGAAGTTGCAGGTGATCACGTATACTCCGTCCGCTCCTTATGCTTATGCACAGGCCTAGCGACTGCATCACCGAGCGACTTTTTCGACCCGGCGCCAGTCCGTAAGGGTGCGAGGGGTCGGGAGGTGCATGGCTTCAGCTGCCGCAACAAAGTCTCGGGAGTAGTCCCGAGTGTTCCGACATGTTCCGACAAAGCCGCATTGCTTTCTCAAGCAGTGCAGAGGGCACTGCTCCTGCAACTCTCCAGGCAGGGGCCGGTCTTCCCGCTCGAAAGCAAGGTGCTTCAATGTGCTTCACTTCAACCTCACTGCTCAGAGGTGAAGGATCAGACTCACAGACTACTCACGGATGACCGCACCCCGGATCCGCGGCTCGGCACGGAATGGTGCTGCACTGTGACGCAGGGTCATGGCAGCAGGGAGATGAGAAAAGAGTCTATACAGTGTAGACAGGCCAAGCCGGGCCTGCTTCGATGAGAGAGTAGCCGCAGCGGAGCTAAAGGAGCTCCAGCCGGAACCTGTTCTGACCATCGTCAGCCCTGAGAACCCTGAGCCGCCTCTGCCCATCAGTGGATTTCACGATGACGGAATGGTGATGTCCATGACTTCCGATTCCCTCTGGCGAACCAACATACCAGGGCTTGTGCATCCCTTCGCTGTTCATCATCAGCACAAGGCGGAACGACGATGGGCAGCCCTCCAGATGCACGCTCACTCTCAGCCAGAAGCAGCCCGTGTCACAACGCTTCGCGGGGCCTGTTCCTCCCTTCACACTGGCACAAGTTTTCTGGTCGAAGAAATCATCGGCAAACTCCCGGCTGCTCAGAGAACTTCCGGACACCTTGATCTTGCTGCCCCCGTGTTTCTCGACCTGTTCGGGTCTCATTTCAAGTGGCTCTTCTACGTGTATGGAGTTGTACTTCCCCTCCTCGAAGTTGACTTCCTGCAGAGCCGCGCCGTCGAACTGAACGTCGAACGACGGAAGGGGCAGCCTGTGGGCCATCAATTCGCCGATCTTCCCAAAAAATTCGAAAACGTTATCGGCAAATTCGAAAGGGTCACCAGCCATGCTCAGGGAGTGGGCCCGCAGCAGGTAGAGGGGATGCTTAGATTGAACTGTAAGCCAGGCCTGTACAGCTGACAGCTGCAGAAGAAGACCGCGAACTAACGCAATTGCCCACGACCCTCCCGCATGTGTGAGATCAGCACCAGGCGACAGCTGAAGCTAAGACTGTAGGAGCAGATAAACTTGTCCAGCTTCTTACGGACTCTCGAGCACCCCGTGATCGGAGACAGCGAGGTCTCTGCATAGCGGGGGTATGCGGCCCTGGCCCAGTCGGGCCCGGTCGTACCCTGCTAGCCAGTGACTCCCCCGATCTCCCTCGCATGGAGCCTCAAACTCGCGCGAATTACCGGCTACGTCTGCCATCTGTGTGTTCCTCGCTTTCTGCTCGAACAAAGTTACGACAACTGCCCGTGCGCACCGCCTTGCATAACAAGCCCGACGCCCCAATAACAGATCACAGACCAAAACAAGCCTCACTCGGTCTCAGGCCGCTGCCGTCCCCAGAGCCCTCCGCTGCATTCCCCTCCATACGCCAGAACGGGCAGGGTCGAAAGGCTTCGAAGCTTAGGGACTAGTACCGTTTGGAAGTGTGGGGCGCATCAGGCGTCTGGAATGTGTCTCGGATACCTGGCTTTGCTTCAAAAACTCTACCCCAAGCTGCTTTCCGACTCTGGGCAAGCCGTGCGGCCTCTCGGCATCAGGCTATGACATTGAAGTCCAGCCTGCAGCCACACTTCCCAGAAACTGCCCTGTGCGACAGCCCGCTTCAGGATCCACGATGAGGTGTACGCGTATAAGCGATACGCGGTTTGGGAAAGTTTGGGGTTTTGAGTTTTTAGGGTTGAGGGGCTCCGGTGTTGGAATTCAGGTACAAGCGGCCGGCTCGGGAGTTTTGGGCATCGACAACCCCAAACTGGTGGATTGCAGGTTAGAGTCAGAAGGTCCCAGAGCATACAGACTGCCTAGACCAGCACCCTGTTGGCTGGAACACGGCAATGAAATCACGTGCCAGGTGTTGACTCTTCGTGCTGCTCACAACTTGAACATGTTTTCAAGGCCATCCATATCCATCCATTTGCATGCTTGCCCCCGGATTGGAAGCTTGTCACCGAGGGTTGCATCTGGCGGCAATCTGTCTTGAATGGACACATGTGCGGCGAAACGATGCCATGGCCATGCTTCTAGGCGGGGCCTCTCACTGCACCACTACACCCACCCGGTTGGCACTTGCAATACCGAGAGATACGCGTGAAAGACGAGTTCGTTTTCCAGCTGCTGCTGTGATATGTCTGGGTCTGCACTAGCATCACTATAGCATTCGTCAAAGTCGATGCTTTTGTGGGAACACTTCTGTGTCCAGCTTGCGTGTCTCATCGATCCACATTCCGGTGATGGCGACCATCATCAACACACTCTCGGTGCTTGCAGCGGGCGACACTGTGGTGAAACCCCATTTGTGGGATGCTCTGGTCATGGCTGCGACGGGAACATGGACGTCAAGACGGATTTGGACCAGGCCGAACCCCCAACCCCCCAAGCCCAACAACACCGCAAGAACATGCAAGGAACCAAGCACGCTGGTCTCAAACATCCGAGCATAGGCCTTGGAATGATTCCACATAGACATCCCGAAGCTCAAACTGTGAAGGACTGAAGGAGAAGGAGCCGGACGGCCTCGGGTCAGCTTCACAAGAGCCGCCACTGCACAGTCCCAGGACTTGGCGAGTGCAGCAGCAACCTAAGCCAAGCTCTGAACCGTGAGAACGCAGGACCGCCGAACGCCGCCGAAATCCGAAAGTCGCTTGACATGCCTGCCGGAAACTCTCCACCTGGAAGTAAGGATCAACATGAATTGGCCATGACAAGCAGTTGATACCTACATGTGGTCTGCAGCCGACGGCTCTGCCCTAAGCAGCGTGACAGCTCGACCTGACCTTTTCGACCCGCCGCCTGTCTGTAGGGACTGTAGGGGCGAGGTGTGCATGGCGTGCATGGCTTCAGGTGCCGCACGTAGGGCGCGACCGAGCCAGCCGACGAAACGTCTCGCGGGTAGTCGCGAGACGTGTTTCGACAAGCCACTTTGCTTTACACGCGGTGCATATAGGGCACCGCCCTGCAAATCGCAAGCAGGGTGCGGTCGTCCCGATTGGGAGCGAGATGGGTCAAGAAGATCTCAATATATCTCAATGCTCAGCTGATCTCAGATGTCAAGGTTCAATCGCACGGGTGACCGCATGGCTTCAGCTGCCGCACATAGGGTGTGACGAGCCGACAAGCGACACTAATTGGGCACGGTCCTCGCAAAATCGCAGGTCGGGTGCGGTGCGGTCGTCTCGTTCGTCCAAAAAGGTGGTTCGCCGGACCGGCGCGACTGCCAAAAGCAAAAGCAATTGCAAGGGATGAGGGCTCGGCACCGAATCGCGCTGCACAGTGAAGCAGGGCCATGGCAGCAGGAGATGGAAGGAGGAACAGAGGGTGGGCTGGGCCGTCGAGGCACAGGATCGTCTGTGACAGGCAAGGCAGCTGCTGCGCCTGATGCATCGGCTGAGGTCTCGCTTGGCTGCTCAACACCCTGGTTGCCAGACTCGTCGCTGATCTGCACTTTGATCTCTAACGTCGAATCTCTCTGCGGAGATATTGTCAACTCCACCGAATGCATGTCGGGAAAGTCGTGAACGATGTCGCCGCTGTCAAATATCTCCCTACTCAAAACCTCCTTCTGGGAACTGTCCTTGATCGTGACAAAGCACTCAATGCCCTGGCCTGTGAGGCGACTGATCGAGACAACCGCGTGGTTTCCACTTGTGACGCCAAGCAGTTTCAACATCGTTTTCCTCCGAACCTGAAAGCGACCGTCAGACCAATCGACTTTGCCATCGAAGCGATGTAGGAGCGTCGTGCCAGTTTGGTTTTGTCGGTTGTCCCGGTCGTTTTGTTGGTAGGTCTGATGTTGGGCCGACAGCTCCATAGCAGATTTTGTCACTACCAGAGTTGCGGATATCAGCCCCACAACTTTGGTCGCTATGTCAAGGATTTGTGAAGCAGACATGGTGACACCGGTGCAGACCGGCTGCAAGAGGGGGTAATTACTCGCCTTGAGCCAAACTGCGCTGGACGGGTGTTTGTGCTTGCAGCATGCCCGAACTCTTAGCCGCCGACTTGCGGGGCGTCCGCCGCCGGCGAAGGAGCTCGGGAGAGCGCCGAGCACCCAAGCCCGCCGGGTCACAGGGATCATCTTCACCTCTTGAATCTTGAAAGATCTACCGCCTCAGGCGTGAAGGAAGGACCAAGTTCTCGGAAACGGCTTGCAGGGCTAGCTAGATAGCAGATTTTGGTTGTTCCTTGCGGTCGGCACGCAGTTAGGTGGGATTTGGTTTTCGCTGGACATCAAACACGAAGCTTCACATGACTCCCGCATGCTCGCGCAGAATTCGTGTCAAGGGCAGCCTTTTTGCAAACAATACGTACCTCTCGGCAACGTAATCGATTCACAGCAAAACAAGCAATGATAAGCAATGTATGAGGTCTCGGACTCGTGGGATCTGTTTATGGTGACCGGGACGATGATGATGGCGGTGCTGATCATGATGATGATGATTGCGGCGATAATGATTGTGGTGGTGGTGATGACGATGTTGATCACGACCATTAGCACGACACAAATTTTTCGGGGAGAGCCCAAAGTCGTCCGGAAGAGGAAGCCTTAAAAGAAGGCAAGGCAAACCTAAAGTCGTCCGAAAATGACGTCCCAAAGATGAGACCCTGAAGGCCGATCCAAATAGTTACAAAAGGCTGAATATGCAGGCCTTATCTAAGTTCAAAAGGTATGCGGTATGTCGGCACTAGGCGAAAAGCTGACGCCATTGCCTGACGACAAAAGAACACGGGCATGACGACGGCAGGACGATGCCACGGCGACGGGTGGACGACGACAGGACGGCGACGCGACGACGACAGGACAACCACGCGACGACGACGCGACAACGACACGACGACGACGCGGCGACGAAGTGACGAAGACGTTGTCGCGCGTCTGTCGCGCATCCGCCGCGCGAGCGTCGTCTGCCCGTCGCGCACCCGCCGTCCATCCGTCATAAGGCCGAAATAAGGCTTATTTCGACTTATGACGGATGGACGGCGGCTGCACGGCGGACAAGCGACAGATGCGCGACGGATGTGCGGCGGCAGCGCGGCGGAGGCGCGACAGCAGTGCGACGGACGCGCGATGGACGGACGACCGAAGTGCGTCCGTCGCGCGTCTGTCGCGCATCCGCCGCGCGAGCGTCGTCTGTCCGTCGCGTGCCCGCCGTCCATCCGTCATAAGGCCGAAATAAGATTTACCTTGACAACCTAACCCTTCAAATAACCGTGCATTTCAGAATAAATGCATTTTTGCTACAAACCCCACAAAAAAAAAAAACATTATATCATCTTTCTTGGCTTTTGCAGGTTTTGAGTGCGAACTGTAAGCAATTAGGCGGCGACTTGATTTGGTGCGGGTTATGGGGTTACGATAATAGTTCGAAGCATGCAGAAATATTCATAACTTGGCAAGGGATTCAAAGGGGCATCGTGCTGACGAATTGCTCTTGGCTGGAAGTGTTGACAGCGGGGGCCCGGCTTCTCTGGAGGCTGCTTCGCGGTCCGCCCTCCCCGTGCTTGTTCGGGTTTTCTTCAGCAGTGTGCGGCCCGGGTCATCCTGGGCTCAGGCTTGATTTACTAATTTTTTACCTAAGTACTTATCTACTCAGCCTCAGTAACAATTGCAGCTTAGAGTCGCTCAGGACAGGTCGAAGGCCAAGGGCTGAGGGCACTGAAGGCTGAGGCAAATTGCTGCTGGAGGCGGCAAAACTCAGGAAATGCACAAGAAATGCCTTATTTAGTACTAAGAATTAATTGATACTAAAGTGACACGAACCCAAAACTCTCTAATTACTCGCTTAATTAAACCCCTAAGGCTATGATTTCTCGGATTTCGGCTGATATTTTGTGCTAAAGACTCAGGAAATGGCTTTATTTACTACTAATAGTTTAATTGCCTATCTACAAAATAAACCTAATTCTGGCGCTTTTTTCTCTAAGTTTACTAACTAAATAATTAGGCCTAAGGCTCGGTGGTACAGAACCTTCGTAAACCTTTGTAATTAGTTAATTACTTAATTAACTAGCTAATTAATTGACTACTTAATTAAGGACCGGAACCTACCGAACCCTCCTAAACATCCTCTTAATTACACCCTAATAAATTAGCAATTACTTAACTAAGCACCGAAACCTACTAAACCCCCCCCCAAACCCTTCTAATTAAACCCCCCAAACTCTAAATCAACCGAAGCCCCACGAAACCCTCCTATTTAAACCAAAGCAAACCACCCCAAAGCTCCCGAAACCTACAGAACCCTCTTAAGCCCGAGTGCTTAATTAAGCACCAAAACCTACAAAAACCCTCAAACCCTTCTGCTTAGGCGCCCAAAGCGAGACTCCCGATTCCCTCTAATTATTTTATTAAGTAATTGAATTACTCAAAGCCACCCAGACCCTAGCTGCGACCCCACAATTCCCTTCTAATTTAATTACATAATCAAAGCCACCCAGACCCTGAGCCCCACTCAGATCCCTGACCCCTGTCCGGGGTTACCGGTTCCAAATTAATCAAACCAAAACTTTTTGGTCGGGGGGGGGGGGGGGCATCCATTATTCCCACTGCCACATTAGCCAGGGTCTCCAGACAACCAGAACTTCTACCATATAAACATATATAAACACTACATGGCATGTCTTTCTGCTAATCTTCTTTTCAGCAATGCCTGGCTTGTTCGGTGGACGCGGACATGATTATGTACCCATCTTTCCAAGGTCTCCAGAAGTGGTATATCCAAAAGTCAACAAAGTCCTTTATCGTAATTCGTTTACTTTCATATCTTTTCTCAATCCTTTCTATGTGGAGCCAGCAGACCTAATGCAACAAACAACCTTGCATCAGTTCCTTCCTTATGATCATTACATTACATAAAAAATTCTTTTGGGTGCCACTCACTTCGTTCATTCCACTTTATACTAGGAACCGAAGCGAAAGGAAAAAGAAAAATATGTGGGAACGCATATCTTTCTTTGCTCATCTCGTTCCCCAGAAGTCAAAAATGTTAGCCTGCGCTTCTTTTGCCTGATGCATCTAAAATTCGATCCTGTTTACGATGAAACGGCGAATTAGAACCAGCCATTCCCAATGAAGACTCTCGATTCCGCAAGCAATCGATCCAGAACACATCAGTGGCAGCAAAGCAAAACCAGCCATCGCCCCATGTAGACGCTCGATTTCGCAAGCACCCGCTTAAGAACACATCAGTGGCAGCAAATCAAGACCAGCCATTCCCCATGTAGATGCAACTTTTTTCGCAAGCACCCGCTCAAGAAAAAATCACTGGCATCACGTCAAAACCAGCCATTCCGCATGTAGACGTAACTTTCTTCGCAAGCACCCACTCAAGAAACACATCAGTGGCATCAAGTCAAAACCAGCCATTCCCCATGTAGACGCTCGATTTCGCAAGCACCCGCTCAAGAAACACATGAGTGACAGCAAATCAAAACCAGCCATTCCCCATGTAGACGCTCCTTTTCGCAAGAACCCGCTCAAGAACACATCAGCGACATCAAAACCAGCCATTCCCAATGTAGATGCTCGATTTCGCAGGCACCTGCTCAAGAAACACAACGGTGGCACCAAATCAAAACCAGCCATCGCCCCATGTAGACGCTCGATTTTGCAAGCACCAGCTCGAGAAACACATCAGCGCATCGCGGCAACCGGCTAATCAAAGCCAGCAATTCCCCATGTAGACGCTGGATTTCGCAAGCAGCAATACTTCTGCTGGTCAACGAGGCTGAAACCCTTTCGCTGCCTCCGAACATGCCGGAATGCCATGTAGACGCTGTCTAAACAGCAACGAAACCAACTTCACTACAACATAAGATGTGAGTGGAGACCTTTCCTCCTGCTGGTCGCCGATTGACGTGTACAAAAGCACGCGGCTCGAGATAAAGAGACCTGTAATACGTTTGATTTGTCGTTGTTTGTTTAATTAGCCCACAAACACAAAGCGGAACTCGGGTACAAAAGATTGAAATGGAAGTATGACTTACGGGAAGATACCATTAAAAGTTAGGTGTATTTCCCCTCTTCATTCTGTCATTAAGTTCTTTTCTTTCATTCATTCACGCATTGAGCTCACTCTTTCGATCATTTGCAATGGAACGAAACGAACGTGGTGAAGTGAACCAAGCACAAAAAGGAGCGAACAAGATGCGAAATGGATGAATGAATTTATGTTATGGCGGTATATGGCGGTCATCCCTACGTGACGTTGTTCCCGATTCCCGGGATGCTCTCATCATGGTTGCACTGCGAACATGGACGTCATCCACACCACACCCCTCTAAGCCCAACACGCACGCAGCTAAACACTCCGCCTAGGCACGCCTAATCGAAGACCAAGCACTGTGGTGTCAAACCTCCTAGCATAGAATATAGAAGGACTGATGGAAGAGGAGCCGGACAGCCTCGAGTCAGCTTCATAGGAGATACCGGAAGCGCCAGCCACGGTGCCTGCCACTGCGCAGTCCCAGAGTCGTCGAGCAAGTGCAACGTCAACATGAAAGACGGAAGTCCGTCAGCATGGCTGCCGGACACTCTCTCGCCCACCCACAGGAAGCACCACGACGAATGGGCAATGACCAATGACAAGCAGTCGGCACCCTGACCCCGAGCCTGCAGCTCGCCTCGCCGGCCGTGCCCGGAGCCATGTCGCAGGCCACACAGGCCTCGAAGCTGCAGGTGATCATGCGTAATCCTTATAAATAGTCTTATAGTGGTCGATTTATGTCTCGCCGCACAGCTCGGCCTGACTTTTTCGACCCGGCGCCAGTCCATACGGGTGCGCGGCACGGGGAGGTGCATGGCGTTCATGT